AAAAAAAAAAAAAAAGAATACACAATAAAGGGGAAGGGAGATAATTTAAGTTGGTTGCTCAGTTTTAAAAACAAGCCAGGAACTGGTAGCTCATGCCACCCAGCTGTAATCCTAGCTGCTCAGGAAGCTGAGATCTGAGCATCGCAGTACAAAGCCAGCCTAGGCAGTGAGCTTCTTCTCCAATAAACTACTCAGAAAAAACCAGAAGTGGTGCTGTGGCTCAAGTGGTAAATCATTAGCATTAAGCTAGAAGCAGCTCAGGAACAGCACCAAGGCCCTAAGTTTAAGATTCTGGACTGGCACTAAAAAAAATAAATGCGTAAATAAATAGCAAGTTATAAAGCAGAGTGGATTTTATTAATGTTGTGCTATACTTTTATTTTTTGGGTCTGCTGTGGTTCTTGAACTCTGTCTGGCCTAGGCTCCCTGAGTTCTTCAGTTCAAGGCAAGCACCCTACTACTTGAGCAACAGTGCCACTTCCGGTTTTCTGGTGGTTAATTGGAGGTAAGAGTCTCACAAACTTTCCTGCCTGGGCTGGCTTTGAATTGAGATTCTCAGCAGATCAGCCTCCTGAGTAGCTAGGATTACAGGTGTGAGCCACTAGTGCCTGGTGTGCTATACATTTTGTAGTGCTCTAGTATTTAAAGACACACACACACACACACCTATCAGTACCCACAGAGTTGACCTCAACCATTACCACTCTTCCACCTCCATCTTTCCAGCATTAGCACTAGGGTCTTACATGAGCTTGCCAAGCACTCTACTCCTCAGTTAACATCCTCAACCTTTCTTTTTTATATTGAGACAGAGCCTTTCTTATTAAGTTGTCTAGACTAGTTTTGAGCTTACTAGTCAAGGCTGGCTTCCAGCTTAGGATCATCCTGCCTCAGCATCCCAAGTAGAGGAATTACAGGCACATACTACCTATTGTCCAGCAATCATCACCACTCGGAGTTGTTAAATTGTGAGTTACTATGCTAATATCTATGAGTACACACACACACACACACACACACACACAGAGCTGTTGCTACTAATGGAAGTATGTAAATGAAATTTTGTACCTACTACCTAAAAATATTTAGTGTCATAGGTTTACATCTATATCTGGTTTTAGATAGGATTATTTAAATATATGATTTAAATAAATAGGATGATTTAAAAGTCTTGCTTCTATCTATCTTAGTTATCTACAGTGGTAATGCTATCTTGTTTTCTTTTTTGCCCTTATTAACTTTGGTTAAGCTATTTTTTTTAATATTAAAAGAATGATAGAATCACTTAATAATTTTTTCTTTTTTGGTCGGTTGTGGGGCTTGAACTCTGGGCTTGGGCGTGGTCCTTGTGCGCTTCAGCTCAGGGTGAGCACTCTATTGCTTGAGCCACAGTGCCACTTCTGGTTTTCTAGTGGTTTATTGGAGCTAAGAGTCTCATGGCCTTTCCTGCCCAGGCTGGCTTGGAACCATGATCCTCAGATCTCAGCCTCCTGAGGAGCTAGGATTACGGTCGTGAGCCCCTAGCACCTGGCGCACTTACAAAAATTTCTGTAAACAAAATGAAAATTAACCATAAACAGAGAGATATACGTGCAGTGAGGCCCTCAAAATAAAGGGCTCATCTCAGTAAGGGTTCCCAGGGCCACTCAGGAAGAAAGGCAAGCAGGCATCCTAGGGAGGGCTTACCTGACACACGTGTCTGAAGAGCTGCAGGGCCCTCTGGTTCAGCTCTCCCTTGTATAGCACATGGGAGCGCAGATACAGGAGGGCATTCATCAGTAACTGTTCCCGAGTGGGATAAGGTTGCTGGCCCTTGTCCTCCTGCTCTTTTCCTCCCCAACACTTGATAGTCAGCTTCCTAAGGCCTCGCAGGACCTCCTCTGACTTTACTGAGCACAAAGCATCAGCATGAGCATAGTAGGTGGGGAACGTGGGGTTCACAGATGGGAAAGCCAGCACGGCCATGGCCAGAGTCCCCAGCCTATTTGCACAGATCAAACTGCTATGGAGGGAGGAATAGACCTCAGATGCCACCAGCCTCATGCCATGCTGTAACTGCAAGATGGCTGCCTGCAGCGGGGCTATGGTGTCTGGATATAGGGCATACTCCTCCACTAGCCGCTTCCTGAAATGGTGATGTGACTGTTGCCAGGAAGCCTCCTCTTTCAGAAGGTTCTGGATGACCTGGGCAGACCGTGGCCTATCTGTGCAGAGGGACTGCAGAAGCCTTGTAAGCAAATCCTGAACGGCAGCAACCTTGGCAACGCTGGTGACATAGAGGTGTATCTCCTGTACAAGGGACTCATAGGTAGGAAGCTGAGGTCTGAAAGCTTGTTTTTTTGATAAGCTGTGGATTAAATTCTCCAGCTGACTGATCCTTTGGCGAAGTAACCTGAAGGTAAAATACAATATACCAATTCTGTCAGAAGAGCAGCAAATTTCAATTGGACTATGCAAAGTGGAAGACACACTAACTGCTTAGGAATACTTGAGGATAATCCTGACAGTAACAATAAAACTGAAACACCTATAAAGCATTTACTAGGTGTTTCTTTAGATGCACACATCATTGGTACCCCCTCACAACTCATGACAAAGGCATCTTTCTTTGCTGAAATGGACAGAGGCTTAATGATACTGAGTGATCTCTACTTCCACAGCTAAAGGTCTGGACTGGACTAGAGACACAAGAACCTGTTATACCTAAGGCAATAGATACACATACAGCCAAAAATAGCAGAGAAATAAATAAAGTGTACACGACTACATTCCGCTTTGTCCTTGTTGAGAAATTCTGGTTTCAATCATTTTGGCCTCATGGGAACCCATCCTTGAAATTCTTTCTTCTTTTAGAATGTTTTTAATGACTAGAAATGAACAATCTAATAGATAATGTAGTTCAGTGATACACATTATCACCTCACTAATACATAACTATACCACAAAAGTAGTATATATTGACATTTAAATATTTCTATAGGTTCAGATCAAATGAATCCATTATGTGGTATAATATATAAAGGTCAATCTCTAAATGTCTCTTTAAAGAGTCAAGCTGTGTGCCAGTGAGGGTGAGGTCTAAAGATTGTTGTTTGAAGTACATTGAGATTTTTATTGTGAATTATTTCAAATAGCTGAGAGTGGAGCTGTGGCTCAAGTGGTAGAGTGCTAGCCTTGAACCAAAAAGCTCAGAGACAGCACAACACCCCCCACACAATAAAAATAACAACGCCCAATGAAAATAGTAAAAATGTTGCCTTACCTGGTATGAGGATGAGAGTAATTGACAATGGCATCATCTTCCAGGTCCATTCCAGTTTGTAGCTGGGATGCCAGGTTCCGGATCTTCCACTCACATTGCAGCTGGAATAACTAAGGGAAAAGAAGAAAATAATGCCCTGTGCTACAGTATTGTGTTCAGTTAACTATGCACATGAGGACAGTTCCCTTGGGTTGGATACACAACAAGAAGCAGGGAATACAACTTTCTGAATAACTCAAAGACAGAGAGCTCTGCTCCATCAACCTAGACCACTCACCTCAGAGCCATAAGATAAAAGGAGCTGTCCTACTTACACCACCAACTTTTTGGGCGTCTCTCTATAGCAGTTTAGCCTTCACCCCCAATCAATGCTGGGTTCCTTTTTGAGATAACAGCACATAGATCACTATCTTACCATACAGTTATTGAGTTTGATCAGAGTTTCAAATAGTAAAAGAATACCACATAATGGATTAATTTGATTTCTGAACCTATAGAAATATTTAAAGATTATAATATATAAAGATTGTAATAAAGATATTAAAGCATTTAAAGAAGCTATCCAAATCCAAATATCCAAAATTTAGTTCAGTCAGAGATTCTAAGGCAAGAGTGCACAGGACTATATCCAGCTTTGTCCTTATTGAGTAGTTCTGGTTTCAATCATTTTGACCTCATGGGAACTCATCCTTGAAATTCCTTATCCTTTTAGAATGTTTTTAGTAAGTAGAAATGAAGAATCTAATAGATAATGTAGTTCAGAGATGTACATCATCACTAATATATTACAAAGGTCAATCTCTAAATGTCTCTTTAAAAAGAGACATACAAAAAAGTACTATGAGACATTTTCTGATAGTACTTCATCTCACTACTCTATCTGCTCTCTGTAGAACCTAGTCAGAGGAATTCTCAAGAAGGAAAATGTAGTTTCTCTAAACACACTCATAGGAAATTCCAAAACAGCTTATGCAGAATTATCCCTTTGAAGACAGGCACTAGTAGATGATGCCTGTAATCCTTGCTACTGGGGAAGCAGAGATTAGGAGGATTACAGTTCAAGTTCAGCCTAGGCAAAAAGTTTGTGAGATCTCCATCTCAACAATAACTGGGTGTGGTGGCATGTGCCTGTTATTCCAGCCATGTATAAGGCTGAGACTAGAAGACTACAGTTCCAAGCCAGCCTCAACAAAAAGTCCAGTCTCCAAAAAGGACTAGATACAGGGATATGACTTGTCATCCTAGCTAAAGCAGGGGGAAGACCAAAGTCCAGGCAGAACCAGTAAAGAAGTGATGCTCTATCTAAAAAATAACCAGAACAAAAAAGGGTGGAGATATGCCTTAAGCAGTTAGAATGCTTACAAAACAAGCACAGAAGTCCTAAGTTCAAATAAGTTACTCTTGTGAGGATCTGAGAAGATGAGAAAGAGACATAGCAAATATAGTGAGGAAAAGAGCTCAGATTTCTAACTTTTGCCTCTACCATACCTCTTCCTTGGCATACTTGAGCTTGTATTCCCTCTTCACTGCAGGATCGAAGCGTGCTTGGGGAAGCCAAGTCTGGATCTGGATCAAGCCAAGGCTCACCCAGATGCTCCCACGTTGGGCTGGCTCAGGCAGGTTCTTATTTTCCCCTTCTCCAAATACGTGGTGTAGGGAGGTAAGCAAGAGACACAGAAGTTCCTTGGGCAATGCTTCCTGATCAGACATGTTCCGAAGACTCTGACCTACATGCTGGAAAGCCTTGCTGTCCTCAAGTAACTGCTCACAATTCTGCATGTACTCCTGCTGCTGTGGCTCTGGTAACAGGTCTACTAGGCCTGCCAGGTGCTGGCATAGCACTAGTCTCTGGAGCTGGCAATCTGTGTGCCTGTGTGGACAAATAAGGAAGCATTTAAGGACTCAAAGCCTATCAACAACCCTTTTAATACACTACTGTTCTTTTAGTAATAACCACAGATTGCAGTCTTCTCTCTCTTCCTTTGTAAAACTGGTTTGAGTCAGGGCTTCACAGGGAGGTGTTTTTCACATGAACAACACCTCTAGTCCAGCATTATCTTCTTGATCACAGTATGAAATAGAAAGAGGAACCAGCAGCTAGCTCATGGTAGCTCTCTCATGGACTCCAAATATGCTGTCCATGAAAAGAAAATCCCTACCTTCACCCACCAGAACCAGATACAACTACCTTAAGCAAGTTCTGAGTCCATGCTGCATGCTTTGGAAAACAGAGAAAAGATTCTCACATTCTGCTCTAGGAGAACGAAGTACCTGAACTCTGCTATGCAAGGAACAGCCATGTTGGTCCAAAGCAACGAGCAAATGTCTCGGAGCTGCTGGGCTCTCTCAACCCACTCCCCGAGGGTGACGTGTGAAGAGGTCAGGATGGGGAGGCCGCTCACATCCCAGGTGCTTGCTCTGCAGCTGCTGGTCAACACATCAAAGCAGCACTTGGAGAATACAGCTCTACAAAGAATTCCAGGGCCCTGATTTAAAGAGAAGAACCAAGTGATTTTTAAAAATTAACTGAAATGATTTCAACAGGCAACAATGAGGCATGCTTTGCTCAGAATGGGTGGAAATTTGTTGAAAATGGGACCAGAAAAGCAGAAAGGGCCAGGTGACAGTAGGCCATTTTGCTCCGTGCTGGTGGCTCACACCTATAATCCCAGCTACTCAGAGGCTGACATCTGAAGATAATGGTTCAAAGGCAGCCTAGGCAGGGAAGTATGTAAAACTCTTATCTCCAATAAACAACTCAGAAAACTGGAAGTGGAGGTGTGGCTCAAGTGGTAGAGCATTAGCCTTAAGCTGAAGAGCTGAGGAACAGTGCCCAGGCCCTTAGTTCAAGCCCTATGAGAGACAAAAAAACAAAACAACAACAACAACAAAAAAAAAAAGCAACAAAAAAACCCCTCCATTCTCAAGGAAAAGAGGCACAATGGATGCTTTAGTGATTACATGAGCAACCCCCACCAAGTGGGAATCAGGGAATCCTATTTTCATAGTAGGTTGAGGGTAAGAACTGAAAAAGGGAAAGGAACTAGATGACAAATGTGACATGACCAAGCTTGTTCTCCTTCGACTGTTATTCTGTTGCACATAATAGCTGCCCATGTTGAACAAGGCAAAGCACAAGAGCTTATTCTTGCCTGTAATCTTAACTACACGGGATTCTGGAGATCAGAAAGATCATGTTTAAGGCCAGCCTGGCAAAACTCTGGCAAGATACCATCTCAACCAATAACAAAAGTTGGGTATGATGGAATGTGACTTTAACACCAGGTATGTACAAAGTGTAAACAGAAGGATCATGGTCCAAGCTGCCAGATAATAACTTAATAAGATCCCACTTTTAAGAAACTAAGCTCATATCTATAATCCTAGGTATTCTGGAGGCTGAGAGCTGAGGATTGAGGTTGGGAACCAACCCTGGCAGGCAAATGAATGAGATTCTACTCTCTAGTAAAAAGCCTGAAGCTGAGGTGTGACTCTAGTGGCAGAGAACTGGCCTTGAGCAAGAGTCCAGTAAGACAACACACACACCCCTAAAGCAAAATTAGCTGGGTATATAGCTCCATTAGCAGAGAGGGGGCCTTTCCAAGCAAGCATAGGACTTAAATTCAATCTCTAATAACTGTTCCCTCCAAAAGAAGCCGCTGTTCTCAGTTAATAAAACACATGTATACGGGTATATACTATATACTTATAGTAGACACTATAAATCTACTTATACTACTTATATATGTACGATGTGTGTATGAATATAATACATAATATATGTGTATATATAAACATGCATGCACTTTAAAAGGTAAATTCGAATTCTAGAAACTCACCTACAGAAATATTCTAAACAAATACTAATAGGACAGTATATGGCGCTTTGCTTATTACTAAAAGAAAAGGCAAGAAACTTCAACATTTACCAAGAAAGTGATTAGATACATTAAGAATAACAAAGGAGTAATTAAAAAGAAAACCAGCTATATCCCAGAATAGTAGTACATGTCTTTGATTCTACTATTCAGGATATTGTGGATAGCAAGTTTGAGGCCAGCTTGAATTAAATAGTAAGACCTGCGTCTGCAAAAACAAAACTAACAACAACGACAACAAAAAAAAAAGAGCTAGAATAATACTTACACATTTTCACAAATTTTTTCTTGTCTGTCTTGGGCTTGATCTCAGGGCCTGGGTGCTGTCCCTAAGCTTTTTTGTTAAAGACTAGTGCTCTACCACTTTGAGCCACTCCATCACTTCCAGTTTTCTGGTGGTTAATTGGAAATAAGATTCTCACAGACTTTACTGCTTCTTTTTTTTATGGCTTTGAACCATGATCCTCAGATCTCAGCCTCCTGAATACCTAGGATTATGGCAGTGAGCCACTGGCACCTCACACAAATAAGACTTTTAATGGATACCCATATAAATAAGGATTCCCAGGTATTTTTTTTTTCCTTTGTTCCAGTCCCAAGGCTTTATCTCAGGGTATGGATGCTGTCCCTGAGCTTTTGCGTTCAAGGTCAGTGCTCTACTTGAGCCACAACTCCTACTTCCAGCATAGAGATAAGAGTCTCACCATTCTTCCTGCCAGGCTGGCTTTGAACTGCAATTCTCATAATTCAGCCTCTAAAAGCAGCTATGATTATAGATGTGAGCCATCAGTATACGACCAGAGCAGTTACTTCTAATAAAATATGTATTATTTCAGTAGTTGGAATACTTTATACCTAGGACTCGAGGGTCCTACCATTCAAGTAGTCCAGGCTAAACTCAAACTCATGATCAAACCTCCAGCCTCAGGTCTCCAAGTACCACGTATGGCGAAAACTGAGGCCCTTTCTGTAAGAAAGTTTTGTGATTCCTGCCCCCAGCCCCACCTCCCCGCAAGTTAGACAAATCCTTTATGCTAAGCACCTTTATTTTGAAGTATGCTTTATAATACCACACAAACAGTTATTTATGCAACATTTGAGTCTAGAACTATTTACTCCTGAAGGTAACGGGAATATTTTACCCAGTATTATGAAGTACTTTTTAAATTTTGATGTCAACAAACCTTTAATGTGGTGTCCAAAAATGAGTTGGGCATTTCCTTCTGCTGAATATAGAACAGGGGGTTCCATGTTAGCCAGTACTCTGGATTTGTGGTCACAGTACTATTCCAGAAAGACTTGAATGTGGAATTCAATAACTCAGACCACAAACAAGTAACTTCTTCAGTGGACATCTATAATAAAGGAGTAATTAGACAAAGGAATGTTTTAGAAAACACACATTTTCAAGTCTATCTTCTAAAATTTATCTTAAACATGTTTATAACCTTAATTTTTCTGATTCTTTGCTACCACAGTCATAGCATATCTGTTTATAATTAGAAATTGTGATTATATAAATTATCTCATCTTGAGATCTCTTGAGGGTTGCATGACAAAGTTTAGGTAAAGTAATTCACTCAACTGTTACACTGGTAAAAGAAATGAAATGATTGTACTAGTGAAATTATACTAACAAATATTTATCCCATAATATATTTCTAAACAAATGTTTAAAGACAAACTTTCATCCCACTTAACTGGAAATAACATGAGTTACTACATCTGTTGGTAAGAATTTTGCAAAACACTTGCAAAAGAATATCCAAAATTCTCAGTTACTTATAGCCAGGCTCAGGTGGCTCACACCTATAATCTTAGCTACGCAAGAGGCTGAGATCTGAGGATCGCGGTTCTGCCCAGGCAGAAAAATCTGTGAGACTCTTATTTCCAATAAACCACCAGAAAACCAGCCAGAAGTAGCTCAAGTGGTAGAGTGCTGGCCTTGAGCTGAAGAGCTTAGGGACAGTACCCAGGCCCAAGTTCAAGCCTGACAACTGACAAAAAAAATTAAAAAATAAAAAAATTATATAAGCTTGGGGTTTAAACATGAAACTATGAGTTGCTAAACAATGTTGAGCAACCATCCCTACCACAGAAAATTTAATCAACTCAGAGTGAAGTAGGGTGAATTCTGTTTTTTGTCTTTACCTTTGGATGATGCAGCAAAGACCAAAGGTCTTGAAGCTCTTGAGGTGAAACTGGTGTGTACTTAAGACAAAATGTGATATGATGATTTACCTCCTCAAATATTTGGGGTTGCTGATTTTGGTTAGACCTGTTCAAATAAGTAAATAAGGAAAGGAGATGTGAACTATCAATGAATAACTTATGGAATATCTATTTAAAAATGAACAGTTTAATTTTGATTATGCTTAATATACATATGACAGAAAAAATAAAACAGGCTCTCTTGGGAGATAGGTGGCAGCAAAAGGGAAGAAGGCTAAGTGAAGAGAGTGAATGAAAATAAGTATGGTCAAATTAGCTTCTCTGCATCTATAAAAGCTGAACAATGAAAACTTTTGAAATTATTTTAAAGGGAGGTGAAATGGGGGAAGAGTTATTGGGAACTGAGTGTGAGTTATGGGGGTTGTGGTTGATGTGTGTATATTATTTATATGGATGGATATGGGGAATGGGGTGTGAGTTATGGGAGGTATGGTTGATATGGATATATCATTTACATGGGTGGAAAGGTTACAATGAAACTTCCCTTATAAGATTGAGTATGCTAATTAAAAATACATAAAAATTATCAATTCTACTTGGAAAATCATATTAACTTTTAGGTGTAAATGTAAACCAAGCAAAGAATCTTAAAGATTTGGTTTGTCAAAGTGGCAAAGGATCTCAGCAAACATTCATTCTGTTTCTCAGCAACCATTCTTTCTCAAGACAAGTTAATGCTTTGCTTACATGTACAGGACATATAAATAGTCTAGTAAGATCTTTAGAGAGGGTAACTGAAAGAAGAGCTTACTTTCTCAGAAAAATCTGTGCCATAAAATCAGCTGTCACTTTGTACTGCCAAAGCACAGCCAGGTAGTCCATTGCAGGCCATAGCTGAACAGTCCTGGTGAGCTGGATTAAGGACATGAAATCTGGCTGTGGTGGGGAAGAAGCTTCACCACGACTTTTCTCCAGAAAACCAAGTGAAAGTCCTTTGGCTTTTAGTTTTAAACACTGCGTGTTTACAAGATTCAGCAATTCATCTTCAAGTCAGACCAAGAAGAAATGTTGCATTAGAGTACAGTACTCAAAAGTCCAGCATCAAGATTCCCACCTACTGGCAAGATGAGCTTAACCTAACTTAATAGGAATTAGGCCGCGCAACTTGAGCCTTGAATTTCTCATCCATTAAATGATCATGGTAATTTCTACACAATTCTAAAAAGGGAATAAAAGTTTAGCCCATTGACTAGCACTTATTTAATGGTATTTATATCCCTCCAAGAAAGGGTGAAAATTTGAATTAAAATGTTACCTAAGTTAACATCATTAAGAGTATTAGCTCTGTGGATCAATCCCCAAGCCCGCAGGAGACTTTTCTTTAATGTCCAGTCATAAACAATCACTTGGAGACGATTAATATCTTCTTGCCATCCACTCTCTGTAAGCACAGGCACCCACTCTCTGAGGGCAAGGGCTTGGTGAAGGACTTTCAGTTGTGAAAAACATTCCACCACCAGCTTGTCCTGAAACAAGGAGAGTCTACTAGATTTCTGAATTTTTAGCAGCGTAGATATGCTAGAGGAGAAATTTTGAAGCATTTTCTTCATACTTTTCCAAATACTCCTATCATTCTGTTGAGATTTTAAAATAATTATTAAAATAATAAAGCCTCAGCAGGCTCAGGAATAGGTACAATGTTAACTCTAACAAAAGAAGTAGTATTTATAAAGAGTTGAGCTTTGCAATAAATATGAGTACAGTTCAATGTCAAGGATATCTTTGGAAGAGCCCTGATTGTTTCGTTCATCATATGCTTCCAAGTGTACCTTAAAAGGAAATGGTCGTCCCAGGAATTTCTGTAACTTCTTTATACCAGTGAAGCCACCAGTTGGGCTACCTAGACAATTCTGAATATGATCTGAGACAGTTTGAATCTCTTTGTAATACCTATAAAAAAAGGACAGAAGTGAAGTAAGAATAGGGAGGAAATACTGAACAGTAAGAAATAATTTACATGTTATATATGTTAAGAGAATTAAGGAAAACAAGAAATGTTCTAATCCCACATTCTCTCTTACCTTTTAACACTGTAGGTTACATTTTTATTTTCTTTTCCTCCCCCAGTACTGGGGCTTGAACTCTGGGCCTGAGCACTGTCCCTAAGCTCCTTTCTCTCAAGACTAGCACTCTACCACTTGAGCCACAGCTCCACTTCCAGATTTTTGCTGGTCAACTGGAGGGAAGAGTCTCATGGACTTTCCTGCCCAGAATGGCTTCAAATTGTTATCCTCAGATCTCAGCTTTCTAAGAAGCTAGGATTATGGGCATGAGCTACCAGTGCTCGGCTATCGGTTATAATTTCAGTACCATTAATAGAAATCTTACTTGTTTTCATGATTCATCAGGAGTTGGGGCATTCGATGGATCAAATGTTTTAAAACCCAGTGCCAGTGAAGGGCAAGCAAAGCCAGACCTGGGGCATCCACTTTTACTGTATCAGCCACAGTCCAAAACCGGTCTCGCCACCGCACAGAACCTAAGATCTAAGAACAAAATAAAACATGACAGTTCACAGTATCTCAGTAAAAATGACTCAATATGTCAGGCAACATGGTGGATTTCTGTAATCTTAGCACTTGGAAGGCAGAGGAAAATGAGTCAAAAGTTTAAAACTAAGTTGGTTAATGAAAGACACCCAATATAGACTCCATATTCAAAAATAAATCAAATCACTGGGTTATATATAGTAAAGTGTACACAATAAAGTATATTGTCAAACATTTTCCAAAACAGAGTTCCACTTGTTCCATTTCCTCAAGGAACTGGCCAGTCACTACCTCCTCCTAACAATTCTTTTTTGTTGGTCATGGGGCTTGAATGTGGAGCCTGGGTGCTATCCCAGAGCTCTTTTGCTCAAGACTAGCACTCTACCACTTTGAGCCACAGAGCTCCTGGTTTACAGTGGTGAAGTCTCATGGACTTTCCTGCTTAGGGCTGGCTTTGAATCATGATCCTCAGATCTCAGCATCATGAGTAGCTAGGATTACAGGCATAAGCCATCAATACCTGGCTCCCACTAAAATTTTATTTTTTCTTTGGCCTCACTGCAGGTGTAATTTACATTCCATTCATGATGTGCCAAATCATTCAAGCTCTAATTAGGGGGCCTTAATGAATCTTCATGGCAACATCTATTCCAGTCTTGTCATTTTACAACAGTTGTCTTACTATGATTAGTTTATTTACTTTATACATATTTTATATAGTTCTTATCCCCACTTAGCTGGTAGTTACCAACAGGTATTCTATGAGGTCAAAATTGTTTTCGTAATAGCATGGTCTGTACTAAAGTGAAGTTAATGGTCTAAACTAAAGTGGAGTTAATAGTACCAAAAAGGAAACAATAAATTGACTGAATATTTGGTAAAAAGTATACTGAATGTCAATAAACAAATTCAGTCACTTGAAAAAAAGCATTATGGCCTTCAACATACTTTAAAATCATGCATATACTTTAACATTTAAGAAACTGTAAACACTTGGTTATACTATGTAACTTGGAAATAATGACAAAAATGGGTATATAAGGTCAGCACATGAACGATTTCTTGTACTGAGGCTTGAACTAGGGACCTGAATGCTCTCTTTACCTTTTGTTAGCTCAAAACTGTCATTCTACCATTTGAGCCACATCTCCACTCCTAGCTTTTTGCTGGCTAACTGGAGTTTCATAGACTTTTCTTCCTCAGACCTTAGCCTTTCTGAGTAGCTAGGATTACAGGTGTGAGCCACCAGTGTCCAAAAATATTTTTCATCAGAGATTGGTCGAATGTAGAACCCAGATAGAGAGTAAACTGTATTTACTGCCAGTGATAAAATATGAGTTCTTAACCAAATTCTAAATCTTTAAAAAAACTAAGAGTCTGACAACTTCTCAGTACTCAAAACTTTTTCAATGAATCAGTGGTCATTTTACACAAGTAATCAAGTTTGTGGAGGGCTACTGAAGAAGAGTACTCAATTATAGAAGTAGTTACTATTCCTTCGTTTTCCAACTTCTTTAGTGATGGGAAGCCAGTTTTTCTTTAGAAAGTTAAACCCAAATCACAGACAAGAGACTAAATTTAACACAGATATGAAAATCAAGCTTTCTTCACCCAAGGTAATAGTAAAGAGACTTTCAGAAATATAAAATTCATGTAAACAAATTATGTTTGCTACATATAAAAATTTATAAACATTTAAAATTATTTCCCAGTTCTAATTCCTCATATGGTAATTACTGATAGATATAACATAAGTGAATGTTCTCTATAGAATTTGATAACTTTTAGATTTATAGAAGGCTCTGAAGACCAAAAAGTTTAAGTCATACTGTACTATTTTATAAGATCTACAAGAACCACAAAAATAATCTCGACTCAAAACTTCATTTAACTACATTTGACAATGATATTATAAAAGGTTTTAATGAGTTAACCTGAATGTTCATCAACAGGTGAATTTAAAATTGTCATATTACTTAAAACGAATGAAATATAACTATAATAAACATATAAAATATATAGTTATATATATTCCACAATTCTACTTAAGAGAAAAATGAAACTTAACTATAATTAAAAAAAAAACCCATGTCAATGCTTACACAATTGGGAGTAGAAGCATCAGAGAGGAATGAAGAAAAGAAACATGAAGAAAGTTCAGGAAGACAGATATGCTCACTAACTTGATTATGGTTTCACAGTATATACATGTCAAAGAAATATATGCAGTTTATAAAAATTTACAAATTATAACTTCATAAAGCTTTAAGATATGTGGGTAGATACTGAAATTGTTAATAAAAGACTTCTACTAGAGCTAGTCTTTTCCCTAAGAATCTTTGTGTCCAGATAAATCTTGTTTAAAATAAAAACAGGTATATTGTCTCACCTTATTGAAATCAGCATCAGACAGCATCCCTTGAGGGGACTGTACCCAGAGCAGGATTAGTGCATCACAAAATTCAAAAAATGCAGCAAGATTGACCACAATTTCATGGGGTAGGCTGTGGTAGCTCTCTGGATCTTAGAGTTGACATAAAGAATATTCCAGAAGATTTAAATTAATCTCCAAGCATTTTCAAAATAAACTTCAAAGTACAGCTGATTTTATTCATGCATTTAAATACAAAAGCAAGTACACATAGTTTTGGATGAACAGTCAACAGAAAGAAACAAATGAAATGACTATTAAAAGAAGTTTCTGTAAAGATGAACTCTTTCATTTATTACATTTTGCAGTTTTGCTTTTTCCAAAATGCACAGCTGTCATTTAAATTCATAAAAAATTAAGGAAGGAAAAATGCTCTCTATAGTAACCAAGTGCATGTGAATATGTACTTTTTGAATCAATACACCTTTTTTGAGGAGGGAAAGGGAAGATTTGGGCTTGAACTCAGGCCCTATGCATTCTCCCTTAGGTTTTTGCTCTACCACTTGAGCCATAGGTCCACTTCCAGCTTTTTGGTGGTTAACTGGAGATAAAGAGTCTCACAGACTTTCTTTCCTGAGCTGACTTTGAACCATTATCATTACATCTCACCTTCCTGAGTAGTTAGGATTACAATGAGCCACTGGTATCCAGTAAATATAGTTAACTTTCAAGTCCTATGTGCTATCTGTTGGGGGTGTGATTTTTGAGCACCCATGTCTCCCTTCTCTCAGAGGCTTGTTATAAAAAGAAAGTGAAATTAAGGCCATGTAAAAAGCATTTTGCTAAGCATATGACAGAGGGACAGTCAATGGCTCAGTAAATGTTGTTATAAAGGGATATATTTCATATCAGATCACCAGATTAAAAGGAATCAGGACCCCTCTGTACAGTATCTTCACAAATAAAATAAAATAAAAAAGAAATAAAAGGAATCAGGATCTAAGCAACTGCCATGTCTCCTAACTTCGGCATCCCACCACAATCAGCAATCGATACTTAATTAAAGAATACAAAACATAATTTTCCTACCTTTGTGGAATTCAAAAGACATTCTCAAAACACTATTTCTTAACTTTTTACTACCAACAGATAGCAAATTCGTTTCAGTGAAAATTCGTTTTTCCCGGTCAAGATACATGATTGTCCTAGAATGAAATTCAAGACCAGTTACACAGTGCTAAATGATACTTTTTAAAATTAAAAGCAAACAAAAAACCCAGGGATCAAACACAAGGCCTTGCACATGGTAGGCAAGCACTCTACTACTGAGCAACACCCCTAACACTACAATAAACCCTCTACGTATTGAATCTTACAAATCCCTGGAATATCTATCTCCTACATCCAGCTCATCTGTTACCCTGCAAATTCTACACTAAACCGACATATAAACGATGGCTACTAATACAACAGGTACATGGAAAAAGCTGAAACTAAGACTATTGGACTTCACTCCTTCACTCTGCCATGATCTGATAAACTGAACTTTGAATCTTGAATATAGCTTTCATAGCATTACTCATTGGAAAGGTAATGCAAGGTGGCTTTGAGCTACTTCGACATACCACACTTAGGCAAACTTTATGAAATTTTATAAGTCACATTTATTTGTATACTTTCTTATAATGTACATTATTACTTCAATTATAATTTGTGTGTGTGTGTATGATGTTGGTCCCAGGGCTTGAAATAAGGGCCTGGGAGATTCTGTGCTCTATCACTTGAGCCACAAGTCTACTGGCTTTATGGCGGTTAATTGGGAATACAGAGTCTCACAGACATTCCTGTCTAGATTGGCTTAGAAACCGAGATCCTCAGATCTCAGCCTTATGAGTAGACATGAGCCACAGACCTGGCTATAACTTAATTTTAATTTTATTTATTACTGGTGGTCCTGGTGCTTGAACTCAGAGCCTAGGCAAAGTTCCTGAGCTTTTCTGCTCAAGGCTAGAGATATAGCACTTGAGCAACACCTCTACTTCTGGCTTTTTTGGGCAATTAGGTAAGAGTTTTGCAGGCTTTTCTGCCTGGGCTGCCTTTAAACTACTTATGCTCAGATCTCAGCCTCCTAAGTGGCAAGGATTACAGGTGTGAACAACTTGTGCATGTCATAAACTTAAGTTTTAAACATTTGCCATACTAACGTCCAATTACTGACAAAAAAATAACAAAGCAAAATATTCTACTAGCCATTATAGTAAAGAATAAATGAGGAAAATATGATTATAGACAGATAGTCAGAAAAAGTCATGTGAGATTAAGTGGATGAAATTTGGAAGACCTAGTGAGAATAACAAATAGCAGAAAGTGAGTATTCAATAATAAAATATTAACCTTTAAATAATAAGTTCCACCATGAATACTAAGATTGCTTAGCATCCCACCACTTGTTAGATTCATAAAAATTAAACACCCATAAGCTGTATTTAATAGCCTTGGGAAAGCCATGACTAAGGCCAGTATAACAAATGGTAAGTGCCCTGAGCCACAGGTTTCACCTACTTGTTTGCCACTGTTTCTAGAAGGGCAAAGAGCTGCTCAGATTGGTCTGTTTGTGGGTCCAAATCCATTGAACTCCTAATGATGTCCAAAGCCTGCATATTCCATCGTGGGTCCAAAGGAATCACAAAGTCATCTAGTTACACAAACAAAAAAGAATTGTTTAGTTCAAATGCCTTGCTTACCAAGGTTATTTGGAATATTTTCATTTGTTTACTTTGATCATATTGAGTCATGTTCTAACCTATGCACAATACTTAAAAAGCAGGATCCAGCTGGGTGTGAATGGCTCATGCCTATACCTAGCTACTGAAGAGGCTGAGATCTGAGGACTGAGGTTTAAAGCCAGACCAGGTAGAAAATTTCCATATCTATTAATCAGCAAAAAAAAAAAAGCTAGACTGGAGGTGTGACTTAAGTGGTACTCTGCTATCCATGAATAGAAAAAGTCTAGTTGTGAGTAAAAGGTTCTGAGTTTAACAGCCCTGAAATGGGCAAAATGAATATATTAAGAAAAATAAAATACAAAAGGGGAAAAAATGCAGGATTCAGCAGTTTTCCTACTGTTTCTTTTCCAAATACAAGATATCTATAAGTCTTGGAAAATCACATGGCTCTCTCAAACATAAATATTCCAATCAATAAACTCACTTCCTCAGACCTTACTACTCATATGAAACAATCCCTAGGCCTAATAATTTCCCATCAAACAACAACTTAAAGCCCACGTGACTTCCATGTCAGTAAATGAACACATATACTCTACTTTCATCACACACACACACACACACACACACACACACACACACACACACACACACACACACTCTTTCTCTCTCTCTCTCTCTCCAAGACTGTTTTGCTTACTAACAATGCTTGGCCAACAGTTCATTGTAATACTTAGGAGGCTGAGATAGAAGGACCTCATGAGCCCAGGAGTATGAAACTAGTCTGAACATTGCAGCAAGATTCCATCTCAAAAAACACAA